TAAAGATCTATATTGCTGATTTGTGAATATTTGTACGACCTTTAATGACCTACTATCACTTTTTCTTTTTCTTCCTCATCCTCTTCTTCTTCTTCATGATGATCATCCTCTTCTTCTAATAATCTTTCCTTTCTCTTAAATATACATAACTTATCAGAAGGGGTTTTGTGGAGATTTAGTATGTTTTATAATAACTTACATAACTTAATTATTTACACCTGTTACTCACAATGGAGTATGGGCCGCCGACCAGTATTTTCCAACACACTCTATCCTGGGCCTTCCTTCCTAGTTTTAACCAATTGTTGTTCACTCTTCTTCCTCTCCTCCTTCGGCCTTCAGGATTCTAAGTGAGGGCTTGCCTTGTGACACAGTTGGATGATTTCCCTAATGTGTTTCCTACCCACTTCCAGTGCTTCTTCCTGATTTCTTCCTCCTTTGAAATCTGGTTTAAAACAAACATAACATTAAAATCAAGTTTAAAATTCATGATTTAATTATATATGACTTAGTTTTATAATTACCATATGAAAACAACTATAAAAGAGAGAGTTATCTAGGTATACATATTCTATTCTATTTCATCTTGTATTAGTAAGAGTTAGACATTATTTTTATTACCATTGAAATTTATGGCCTACTATCACTTCTTTTTCTTCTTCTTCACCATCATCATCTAATAGTCTTTCTATTCCCTTAACCAAACATTACTTACTTATTTACTTACTTACTTACCTACACCTGTTACTCCCAATGGAGTATGGGCCGCCGACCAGCATTCTTCAATCCACTCTGTCCTGTGCCTTCCTTTCTAGTCCTATCCAATTACTGTTCATTCTTCTCATATCTGTCCCCATTTCCTCTCATAATGTGTTCTTTGGTCTTACTCTTTTCCTTTTGCCTTCCGGATTCCATGTTAGGGCTTGCCTTGTGATTTCCACTTCTAGCGCTTCTTCTTGATTTCTTCCTCCTTTGAAATCTGGTTAAAAACAAACATAACATTAAAATTCATGATTTAATTATGTATGACTTAGTTTTATAATTACCATATGAAAACAACTATAAAAGAGAAAGTTATCTAGGTATACATACTCTATTCTATTTCATTTTGTATTAGTAAGAGTTAGACATTATTTTTTATTACCATTGAAATTTATGGTTCATCATCAATTAATTAATATAACTAATGAGGTGATATTTTCAGTTAAAGATTTTCTTCAGTTTATCTTCTTTTGGTATTCCTTTCTGTCTGGTACTTTGTTTGTAGAACATATACATATACATATGTACATATATATACTTATTATGAGTAATGTTAACATCTTCTTCTTTATCTATAATGATATACAGATATATTATTATTATTAGATAAGAATGTAGTAGATAAACAGGTAATTACTAAAAGATGAAAGTAATGGACCATATGAACTTCAATCACCATGGTGAATGATTACATAATAATAATAACAACAACACTATACAATAAACGATTGAAGTGACTTAATTTCAGGTAACATGGTGGTTGGAGGTGGTCAACAGGAAACCCTGGACCCGAGTTTCGTGCTACTTGGCACTCGTCAGCAAGGTGTACCTGTTACCTTTATATATATAGTGCACGGAATGTCGATCCACCTAGATTGGTGGCCACATTGCAACTTGATCGATAGCAATCAATCAGCACTAAGGTCTTGACACGCATGAGATTGATCACCACTCAGTGACCAATCAATTGTGATGACTTATTTTCATTTCAGACGATCATTATGTATATCATTATGTACTCGAATGTTCCAATTGATTTTTACCAAATATAATGAATCAGTCTCTTATTAGTATATATATTTGGATTCTATGCGACTTGCCTCGATTATTGACTTGATTCAAAAGAATGATAAAAAAAGATTGATAATGAATATCAATTCTGAGATACAGGTACATCTAACGGATGAGTTTTAAATAGGATGAAACATGCGTCCTGGATACCACTACTAGCTATGATTCATATTTGCTCATTTGTTTTGCGGTTATAAAAAAACTTAGACAATTAACCGATAAATTAAATCTTAATATATGTAGACAATATTTTATTTATTTATTTAAACATCAAATAGATATGCGCCACCTATATCGTTCGATTTGTGTAACGGCAGTGATACTGCCCAGATGACCAAATTGAAATAGATAGTTTTCCTAAGGGGCCTAGAGGTCTAATCTACAGGGCAGTGGAGAAATGTTAGGAGATACATTCACATAGTAGACGGTGAACATAAATTGGCTCATATGCCATTTCTTTCCTTAGGATCCTGAAGCCTATGTGCACCATTGGTTTGGAATCAAAGTTTTTCAACTACCCTAGGTAGACTTTCCGTGTCCACCAACCCGATTAAAGCGCGGAACATTCGCTTTCCGTCCTCTTAATTTCGTAAACAATACCCCTGCCGCGAGAAGTCAGTAAGTAAGACTTCTCTGACAACGGCTATATACGCGTGGCCATGTAAGAGCATTTAGAGGGGGAGAGCGGCCTCTCCCCAACGATCTTTTCACTTTTTAATGTATTTATTTTGAAATTATTCAGTTGGATTCATTTGTAATAACGAAGTTTAGTTCCTTAAAGAAAAGAAAAGATAGACCATTATAGAAAACCTGGAAGCACTAGATAACCAAATCGTCCTAGTATAGGACTACTCAACAGTGTGTATCGACGATCCCGTTTGTGGAATTCAAACTCAGAACCTTCAGTCTTACGTGCAAACACTGAATCTCTAGACCACTGAAGAGTGTCATACGAGGATAAAACATTCGTTCAACTTTTCTACGTTTTCCATAATGGTCAAGCTTTAATCAACTCTTGAATTCAACTGTATTTATTTGAAATTATCAAGTTTAATTCTTTAAAGAAAATAATATTAAAAAAATAAACGAGATGACGTAATAGGCGAAAAACAATAGAAATCAATTACGTAATATAACTGATTATAAGCTTATTATAATAAAATGATTCAAAATGAATTATTGGTTTTTCAAATATTTTTTCCTCTTTAATGTCACGCCAAAAATTTCTGTCTTAACGACAAACACATTTTTGTGTATTTTTTAAAAAAAAAAGTATAAATGATTCTATTAATTAATGAGGTGATCGATTCTAGTTAGAAACAACATTAGAAAAATGGTTAGAAAAAAAAATGGTAGAAAGCCTTTTTAGTCAATAGACTATATAGAATGATGTGACATTTGTACAAAGATTTCTTAAACTGTCTGTAAATTAGATCATATAATTAAAGAATATTTATTTTTAATAGTTGAATTCATAAGTTGATTAAAGATAGACGATTATGAAAAACTTAGAAGGGCTAGATGGTCAAATTGTCCTAGTATAGGACTACTCAACAGTGTGCATTGATGATCCTGTTTACAGAATTCAAATTCAAAACCTTCGGTTTTACGCGCAAACACTTTAACTCTAGACTGCTGAGAAGTGTCATATTAGGATAAAGCAGCCGTCTAATCTTTATACGTTTTTCATAGTGATCTGGCTTTAATGAATTTTAATGAATTTAGCTATTAAAAGATACTATAATATACACAAAAGCTATTCGGTTCAATTTCAATAAACTTTAAACTAATCGGTTGTCAATTTACAAATCAAGTTTTTATATTCATATGGAGGCTACTGATATTTTTAAGAGAAAGGTATAACAATAGTGTTAATCATATACACCATTAAGCACAATTTACTTCACTTCTCTTTAATATAAAGACACTTTAATAAATAAATCTAGTTATTTGATAACGGTTAAATTCTCTGCGGTTACAGTTAGAGACTTTATAAGCTGTTAGTACAAGGTATTTCAACAAGTTTCCTATTTTTTTAATCGATACTGACAATAAATATTAAGTGATCACCAATATGATGTTAGCAGTTCAAGGATCAATATCTGAGTAATGTACTTTTTATCAGAAGGGGTTTTGTGGAGATTTCAGTATTTTCATAGTTGAAAGCGTGAGTCAATTGAAGCTAGATAACCAAAAAAAACAAACAAACGTGGAAGCACTGGATGACCGTTTTGTCCTAGTATAGGAGTCCTCAGAAGTGCGCATCCACGATCTCGCCACGCGAGATTCAAACCCAGGATTGGTTGAAGTTAGACATTAACACCATCGGATGCCAGTCGACTCAGTGGTCTATCTGTTAAGTGATCTGGCGCGAGACTGGTAGGCCCTGAGTTCTAATCTCGTTAGGCGAGATCGTGGATGCTCACTGCTGAGGAGTTCCAGGTTTTCCATGATGGTCTGGCCTCAATCGACTGATGCTTTCGTACATGAAAATGTTTTTTTATTTCGATGCATATTGCTAACAATCACCATGTCTCTGATTAGGCTGCTTTGTAAGTTTTACAGTGAAATTTCGTAAACTTTTTCAGAAATGCACCCGAATAGGTTATGCAAATAATTCACATAATGATATGTTAAAACAAATAAGGAAGCTGATAACTTATTGAATTATCTAGATGTCAGGAACAGGTAGCCGAGATATTCCAGTAGGCCGCCATATGAAATAGTGAAATAGACTACTCTCATAGTGAAATGTAACCCTGAAAATTTTAAAATTATGTGTTATGCACCTTCAACTTGTACATTGTTTAAAGAATTCTATTAAATGTCTACTCCCAAGCGAGTGATATTTCTAAGACTGTTCTCATGAAAACCATGAATGAGATCTCAAGAACCTGATCTATATACTTCGTTTTAACATTTTGTTGAATATGTTACATTATCAGGAATATCCTTTCACATCCCCCATAACCATCTGTTAGTCTGATCAAGAAAATATACTGTTAGAACAGTAAGTAATTGAAAGATATCCAACCTAGTTTAGATGTACTGGGACATGACTAATGTTCTCATATTATATCAACCTTTAGGTTATCTGGATTTCAATATCTGAAATGGCAAAATGGTTATTGTTTAATTAATCCATACTCTTTTTTGATTTTTCATAGCTGATCCCCTCCAAATGCGTTCATTGTACCATGAAGATGTATTAAAGGTCAATGAAGGAAATGATTTATTATTATCATGTCGTGTACGTGGTCGACCTACACCATTAATTTCATGGTATGTTAATCAGACAGAAATTAAAAATCCATGGAGATTAGAAACCGGACGTGGAATAATTCAAAAATCACGGTATGTTTCTGATAATTAACAATATGGTTTCTTATAAATAACGTTTTATGCTTTACCTTTACGTAAAATGTTGTAAGGTCATCTATCTGGATGGCGTACGTTAGCATAAATTCATTCGGCAATCTCACTTCACTAAGTAGATTGAAAACAATCAAGATAAATATAAGTGAACAAAGTTAATAGAGAAATTAGATATAACACAGAAAATCAGCTTTTATAACACAAAAAAACTAATAATTTATAAGCAATAATGGATAGTGGCTACTCGTGGAATCCAGTTTGATGCGCGTTTCGTCCTGTTTTAGACACTTCACCTGCATTTACCTGAAACTTACAGTTGATGTTCACTCTAGAACTCGAATCAAGTACCGTTCGCTTACTTAGCTACTGAGTTTTGATAGCTGCCTGATTGTGCAATGGGGCTGAAGTTTAAATTTATTTTTTATTGTTTGGTCGAATCTTCTCATTGATGTTAAGGACTGAAATTAGTCAGTCTTTTATTGGCATATGTTTATGCTATGCATATTGCCTCGATATTGTCTCAATTCACAAGCTTGTGAACTAAACAATACCAAATGACTTTTAACTAATAATTTAGTTATACATGATAATTGAAAAGCTAATATGACTAACATGAATAGATGTCATGGTCTAAATATCCGTATTAATATAGAGCTATATACGCTAGAATCTGATAATGTGTTTTTTGTAAAAACCTCAATACTTCATAAAAGTAAACATTTTAGTCAATTTAAACAATTCAGTATTAATTATTTTCATACTGACTATGTTTTCATATTTGATTTTTTAAAATTACCTGTATAACTTATACAAAGAGTCGTTAAGTAAATGAATCGACTATAGAAATAAGATGGTGGTTGGAGGTAGTCAACAAGAAATCCTGGACCTTAGTTTAGTTCTACTTTTCACTTGACAGCAAGATGTACCTGTAATCTTGAGGGAACTCGATTCATTAGCATTCAATCATCATTAAGAAGGACTTGACACGTATGACATTGATCACTACCCAGTGATCAATCAATTGGGATCAACTGTTGTTTCTCACTTTAAAAAGATATTAATTCTTATATAATAGTGTTGTTATTTTATTAATCACTATGATATCTGTTCAAATGAATCTTTTTAGGACGTAGTTGGCATTTGTCAGTTATGCTTATTTACAATTTAACGGGCGGCCTGCTTAAACATCTGGGCTACCTGTTCCTGTCATCTATATATTTCAACAAGTTATCTAATATTGTTTGTTTTAATACATCATTATGGCTATTAAGCACACAACCTATTCCGGTGCATTTCTGAAAACTGTACAAGCTTACGCTGTAAAGGTTACAAAAGGCCTTATCAGAGATGTCGAGTTTGCTGGGAACATGCAGCAAAAAGAATATACATTATTCATGTGTCGATTGACTGAACTGCTGACATCCAACTGGCGATCACTGAACGTTTATCATCAGGAGCAACAAAGAAATAAGAAACGTAAACATGTTGAAATACTTTATGCTGAAAATTCGATTTTGTACCAAATAATATAATATTGAATAAAGCTAATAATAAAAAACAATAAAAAATAAATAAACTTACTTACTTACTTAAGCCTGTTACTCCCAATGGAGCTTAGGCCACCAAACAGTATTCTCTAACACGCTACGTCCTATGCTTTCATTTCTAGGTCTATCCAATTGTTGTTCATTCTTCTCATATCTGTCTCCATTTCTCAGCGTAATATGTTCTTTGATTTTCCTCTTTTCCTTTAACCTTCAAGATTCTATCTGAAGGCTTGTCTTGTGATGCAGTTGGCTATTATCCTCAATGTGTGTCCTATCCACTATCTATAATTTAAAAGAACCTCATATTCATTATATGATTCTATTTGATACAAGTAAAATGATCGTATTAAAATTAATCACTTATTAACTATAAACTAATAAAATAAACATGATAATGACTACTAAATAGATAAATAGATACTATATATCAATCTCAAAAAAAAATTTTAAAAAATGCAATTTTAGTAATTCAATGAACTATGTAGAATAAGAATCAACTTATATTTATAATAATTTTAATAGTTATGATCATGAGTCGATTGAAATTAGACCATTATGTAAAAAACCTGAAAACACTAGATGGCTAAATCGTCTTATTGTAGAACTTTTCAGTGGTGAGTATCCACAATCTTGAATCACAAGATTAAAACCAATGACTAATCAGTCTTGTACGGCGATCGCTTAACTTTTACACCATTGAACCGGCTAGTATCCAATGGTGTTGATATTTAACTTCAAATTCAATATGAAAACTTTTATTAGGATTATATATTTAATTAATTAATTATTTAATATTACCGAATTCTAACGAATACTAACCTTCTTTTAGCCAAGGAAATCCAACAAACGTACTGAACTAAAAATACTAACATAAAGGAATATAAATAACTATTTACATTTATTTATATACCTCCTTATAACTACAGTTATTTCGTTAATGGTAATTCACTACTTATATATGTATAATTTGATACCACTACATCTATATATAAAAGGATACCTCTTTTCCTTCTTTTTTTATAAATTAATTTATTATTGAATCTAACAAATAACTAAATTCGACAGATTGACCTTTCTATGTTATATATTAAACTAATAATCATAAAAATACTACTATTAATACTACTAATACTACTAGCACTACTACTATTAATGATAGATGTATAGAACATAGTTTATTTTATTTGAGGGTATCAAAATTTGACATTCACGAGAAAAAAATTTTGTAATATAACTTTAAATACTATACAATCATTTCATCATACACTCTGACATGCACATTTATACAGATAGATAGATATATGTGCAAGCACACACACACAAAAGGGGTTCTGATACGCACACACACACACTTATATACTATATCCATTCTTTAGTATAAAGGAATTTTTTTATTGTAAGTGTAGTACAAACTGTAAAACAGGGTTAATAAGGAAACTGATATTAATAATAGTAATACTACTACTACTAATAATAATAAGTAATTTTGATATGCCTTTTCTAACCTTTTAACAAATCATATTGAGGTATATATTAACATAATGTTTGTATAATACTTATATAATTGTTTCTATACATGAATTGAATATTGGTTATGTATTATATAGAATAAAAAAAAGGTTGATGTTGATAATAGTTAGAAACTTGATTTGTATTGAAAGATGAAATTATTTATGAAATGTATATACATACATATATATTGCTATCAGTAATATTTTATAAGAATTATAAAGAACTGCCGTTCAATTTCATGGAGAAACTATATTTAAAGTGACTAATTGGTTGTAAACAATGGTGGATAATGGTTAACAGTGGAATGCAGGAAGTGTACTTTATCCTAAGTTGAACTTGTCATCTGGATGTACATACATCTCAGAGTTGATGCCTATGAATTAAGACTATATTGAGGTAATATGTAGAGTATGAACATATACCGATAAGAGACTGATCAATTGCAGTACTTAACATCAATAGGAAGATTCAAACAAGCAATACTAAATGAATTTAAACTTTACCCCAATGCACAACCAAATAGCTATCAGGACTCTGTAGCTAAGTAAATAAAATAATGGCGTCTTGAAGAGAACGGTACTGGGATCGAGTCCTAGAGTGAACATCAACTCTGAGATGCAGGTACATCCAGCTGACGTGTCAAAAGTAGGACAAAACGCGCATCAAACTGGATTCCACTTCTAGCCATTATCTATTTTTGCTTATAATGCTTGTGAATTAAGGCCATATCCAGGCAAAACGCACGTGTACACATATACCGATAAGAGACTGACCAGTTATATTTCTAAATATCAATGGGAAGATTCAAATAAACAATGCTAAATGAACTTTATTTTTAATTGAGTTTGAGATTATTAAGATGGTGATCATATTATAGTAAACACGAACACAAATACGGGATAAACAAATGTAGTAAATAAAAAATTACAGAACAGTTTAGTGAAATCTGTGAAAAATTTCAATCAATCGCCTCAGACTTCATTATTCTGCTCGTTTCTTTTTTCTTCAATCTTCTTAACCGTCTACCTCCAACCATTTCACGTTCTATTAGCAATACATACTACTTACATCTGCCGAAATCAGTAACATACACCACAATATAAATGTTTGCAGCTAAAATAGATTATTCAACTACTATTAAACAGACGATAGAAATTTTACTCGAATTCGAACATTGTATAAAATATTAATCCATTAGAAGATCAATAATTATTTATCTAATTAGGATTGTTTGTGTAGTTGAAATCATGAGTCAATTGAAGCTAGACAACCGTGTAAAACCTGGAAGCACTGGATGGCAGTTTTGTCCTATTGTGAAACTCCTTAGCAGTGAGTATCAACGACCCTGCCTCGCGAGATTCGAACCCTGGATCTATCAGCCTCGCGCGCGAACGCTTAGACGATAGACCGATAGATTCTACAATACCATGTAACAATAAAAGTTAACAAACTATCGGTTTTAATGTTAAACTCTCATCATGAGACATTAAGTTGCTTAGACATCATGTACACGTACAAGTTTGTACAAGATTCTATCCAATTCCTTGAAGGTTTCATTTTTTTTCAGTTTTACACTATATTAGTTCATAACGTAAATGATAAAATAGACTTCACTTATACATTTTCTTTTTTTTGGAATAAATTATCCAACTTTATTAGATGTTAATGCAATTGACTTTTAAAACAAACACCCCCCCCCTAATAATCTAATATTATAACCTACCTTGGTAACAATTAAATTTTTAAAAAAAAATTTTTTTTTGTTTTCATATTTTAATTTTTCATCAAAATTTTTGTTTTAAACAATCAAATTCATATTGATTTATTATGTAATTAAATTAAATTCCACTCATATGACCAAATGAAGATTATTCATGTGTGTTAAATATTTATTACTATTAGTGGATATAAACAGTATAGAATCCTTAAATTCACTTGGTATTGCTTATTTGAATCATCTTATTGTTGTTTAGGACTAAAATTGATCAATCTCTCATACTAAGCGAATTACCTGGATATCGCCTTAATTCACAAGTATTCTCAACAAAGATAAATAGTGATTGGTTGTGGGATGGAGGACAAGTGTCTCGTTCTATTTAGAACTCGTCAGATGGATATTATCTGTATTTCAGAGTTGATGTTCACTCCTGTACTAGGTTCGAGTCCCAGGGACATCCAACTGATGAGTCACAAATTGGGTAAAACACGCGTAAAACTGAATTCCACTCCTAGTCACTATCTATCTTTCCTGATAAGTACAGAATACTTTTATCATTCATGTTTGTTATCTAAAGTCCTTGATATTCCTTGAATAAAATATTTTTTATAAGACGGCAATAGAATAGTTGATTTGATTATGTTGAAAAAAACGTTTACTAAAGTTAAATGTTATTCCCAACTATCTACAAATCAAAATTATTTCAATTGCTGCTGCCTCCAAAACAGTAAGCATCAACATACACAAGGTAAAAAGCAAGACAGTTTTGTTGTATGAAGATGTAACTTGAAGAACTATCACAACGATCATCAAAAAGGTACAAGTGTTTATGAACAATTGTCTATGAAAGTTACTCGATCTTCGTTGGCCAGACATTATCAATAACAATTTACTATAGGAGATAACAAACCAGCTTCCAGTTGAAGGGGAAATTAGAAATCGGTACTAAAGGTGGATAGGAAATTCATTATGCAAATCACACAAACAGTATCAAGAGACAATCCCTAACTTAAAATAGTGAAAGCGAAAGAAAAAGGCGCAAATAAAATAGCACGTTGCACTGGGCACTAGAGTTAGATATCTAAAGAACATTCAACATTTGGCAGCAACCTAAAAATAGAGACTAGAACATATTTGGTTAGAGGTCTGTGAGAGGTAACAGACATAATTTTCTAGGTAATGCAGTGTTTAAGACCACAATACCTCCGAAAACTTCATTCTAGGGTTATAAACATTTCACATTATTCCAATTTTAATCATTTTATAATCTCAAGTAATCCGCGCAAATTAATTGAGTGACCCATAGTTCTCTGTGAATTTGTGAATAGTCTCAAGGTAGATCCTCAGAGTTCCAGTGTCACATCGTGACTCGTATAGTTTAACCAAACGAAATAGTTATTATTTATGATCCTGAATAATGTTTCACCATATTACAAACTGACCTTATTCAAAATACCTCTGAAAGTTCATATAATTCAAAATATTGGATTGCCTTAACTTTTCATGTTTTACTAACCCACCACTGGGCAATGATTCTACGTTATATAACTAATCTTGTTTTATATAAAGCCTACAACATGAATTTCTTTTCAAGTTTTACATAAACATTAATCACCATTTGTAGCCGGGAGATTCAATTAGAAGGTACATATTCAACGGAAGCATAATACAAAACGGAACTATTTTCTCTACTCGTCATATCGATTTTAAACTCTTTATTGATGATTAGATTGGTTTCTCTCAACAAAAACTCTCCATAAACTACTTATTCTTAAAGTATACATGCTATTTTCCTTTAAAAAATTAAACCACTAGAGTCATCAAAATAATTAGTTGATTTATTAATACAGTTTAGTATTTTAATTCATGAGTCAGTGTAAGCTAAACCACCATAAAAATTCTGGAACTAATGAATGACCGTCTCGTCCTAGTATGGGACTCCTCATCGAAATGTATCTACGACCCTACACAACGGATTCGAACTCAGGATCACTGATCTTGCATCCAACGGTGTAAGTGTTTAAGTTCAACCAATCTACGAAATCCAGTGACACATCCACCATTGTCTGCAGTAAGTCACTACCTTACAACAGAACCGGTTGAACTCTACTGGTCACTGCATCTCACTAGAACTCCAGGGAAGTCCTACTCACTGCCTCCTCGTGGCACAACTGTTGTTTACGAAATTGAGAGGACGAAAAGCGAATGTCCAGCTCTCTAACCGGGTTTATGGACTAGGAAAGTTCACTCAGGGGAGTTGGAAAACCCTAATTCCAAACCAATGTACACATGGGCTGGCTCCAGTATCCTGAGGGAACAAATGGCGTATGAATCAATCGTTGATCACCTGCTACCATGGAACTGCATCTCCTCACGATGCTCCACTGCCCTCTGGATCAGACCTTTAGGTCAAAGCCCCCGGATGTGGTCCCCCCAAAAAACGACCTGCTTCAGTTTGGGCACCTGGGCAGTGTCACAGCCCTCAACAAAATAAATGAGATTTGTGCCCCGTTTGGACCAATATTTATGTGCTTAAATAAATAAATAATAAGAACTTCAGGAAATACCTCTTAAAGCTTGTTATAAGTGCGTACATGATGATTATTATCAAAAACCGGATACACACTCCTGAGGAGTCCCACAGTAGAACGAAACATTCTTCCAATGATTCCAAGTTTCTCACGTTAATCTAGCTTTAATCAACTCATGAATTCAATTATTAAAATTACTACAATCTCCACAAATCTCCCCACTTTCTAATAATAAAACAGTTTACTTCATCATCTCTAACTCATAATCTGTTTTGATCATTTCATTATATGAAAACATTTGCTTATAACGTTTCTAGGCACCTGTCTATGATGATGATGATGATGATGTTTGTAAGATTCATGCGTAAACCCTTTTTGTCCTATTTTATTCTTTCATTTTGCGTTTATATTTTGTTTTGTTAAACTGTATAGTTTTCTTTATTGCTTTATAAATTTCATATATATATATATAATATATATATATACTGATTATGACTGTAAACCATTTCTTGTATACCCTAGATGATAAGCTTTTATCTCTTATCCTTTTTATCCGCATAACAATAGAAGATATTCCCAGTATACATAAATATATATATAAAATAGGCATATCCCCCTTTTTATACCAAATTTTAAAGATGTCTGTTATATATGTTGGTTTTTTTATAAAAAAAAATAATTCTGACGTTTCGTTTGTAATTTTCTTTCTTTTTTTTCTCCTTTCTTCTATCTTGAACATCATTTTTATTTTTGTATTTGTATCTATGGTCTTTTACACACACACACACACACGCATATACATACATATATATACATGTAAACTGTTGCTATGTGTTTTAACTAGTTTACCATTCTGTCTGTTTTAAATTTCGTTTTTCTTTTTCTCTTTTTTTTTAAAAAAAAAAACAAACAAACAAATGAAACAAAAAACCGTCAGATATTTATCCAAACTTCAATTGAGTAATGTACATACAACTGACAATGCTAATTATACATGTTTAGCAGAGAATTTAAATGGTCATATACGTAAATCAGTACAAGTAATTGGTAAGTAATTGTATTATGAATGATTTATGAATGAAATAACATCATTTAAGATAATAATAATAATAATAAAGTGTATTCGGTATTGTTTAGTTGAATCTTCGCAATAATGTTTAAGACACATGTCCATACTGTGCGTATTGTCTTGATATTACTTTTAGTCACAATCATTAGAAGCAAAGATGGATAATAATTAACAGTGGAAATTAGGATGCACATTTTGGTACCAGTCAGCTGGATGTATTTACACCTCAGACTTGATATGCATTCTGGGTCTCGAACCCAGTACCGTATGATTCCATGTACTTAGTAGATAAAATGACGTATACTTTTAACGTGACATCAAAATTTCAAGTTGATAAATTTAAAAATGGATGCCGTTTTTCATTTGAAATTAAACTTAACAAACATTTCAAAGAATTACTAATGAAAGAATACATTGATTGTTGATTTTCAAAGATTTCATAGACAAAGTATCATCCATAATTTTCTTGTTTTGCCTCTTTAAAGTTTATTTAATTAAACAACTGCTTAAGAACCTTGATATTCCGTAATCATATGTTGACGTCTTCATGACTGGATCATGAAGACGCCAACATCTGGAGGAAAGCACGGGATACAGTGTACAGGTAAAATGCAGCTGGATGATTTAGACTTCGCGGATGATTTGGCTCTTCTATCACAAACGCAACAACCAATGAAGGAGAAGACGACCAGTGTAGCAGCAGCCTCATTTGCAGTAGGTCTCAATATACACAAAGGGAATAGCAAGACTCTCTGATGCAATACAGCATGCACCAATCAAATTACACTTGACGGAGAAGCTCTGGAGGATGTGAAAACCTTTGCATATCTGGGCAGCATCATCGATCAACAAGGTGGATCTGATGCAGATGTGAGGGCGAGGATCGGCAAAGCAAGAGTAGCATATTTACAACTGAAAAACATCTGGAACTCAAAACAATTGTCAACCAACATAAAGATCAGACTTTTTAATACAAATGTCATGACAGTTCTACTGTATGGGGCGGAGACGTGGAGAACTACGAAAGCCATCATCCAGATGATCCAGATGTTTATTATCAACTGTCTACGCAAGATACTTTGGATCCGTTGGCCCAACACAATCAGCAACAAGTTACTTTGGGAGACAAGAAACCAGATTCTTGCGAAGAAAGAAATCAGGAAGAAGCGCTAGAAGTGGATAGGACACACTTTGAGGAAATCATCCAGCTGCGTCACAAGGCAAGGCTTCACATAGAATCCTGTATGCCAAAGGACGAGAGGAAGATCAAAGAACACATTACGATGAGAAATGGAGACAGATATGAGAAGAATGAACAACATTTGGATAGAACTAGAAAGGAAGGTCCAGAACAGAGTGGGCTGGAGAACACTGGTTGGCGGCTTACGTTCCATCGAGAGTAACAGCGTAAGTAAGTATATGTTACATCGAAAGTTTGTCAGATTCAACTTCGAATCTTATCATTTTTACCAGGTTCATTTTTAGAAATTTATACCACAGTTTATCATATAACGATTAAGTGACAAAATCCCATTCGGTGAAAATGAATACCCTTTCTTTGGTTATATTTTCAATTTACCTAGCTGTATCTTTCCAATGAAACTTAAACCCGCAATTAAATACAACCAAAAATCCATTGATAATGTAAGAAATGATGTGACAGAATACGATTACTTTAGAACCTTGATAAGCACTGGACTTCATTGAAAATCAATATTTCATAAACCGTTATATAGACACGATACAAAGTATTTCTTTTCAATTCAACCATAAAAATCAATTGAATTCTCCGATGTTTTATGTCAGTAGTAAGGAGGTCACTCCCCGATGAGATTGCACTGTGTCACTAATAAATTCAATTCAAAAATTTAAACGAACGGTTAAATATTAATTTACTCAGTTACAAGACATGAATGTTTTAGTTTTCAACTACGACTAGATTGTTAACGTGCACACTTTTAAGATGTTCTGTTCTATGATGAAACAGCTTCTATATATATATATATATTATATATATTATTCTTATTTGAAAACTGATATAAATTTTTGGTTGATATCTGCTTCAATCTCTTCTTGTGTATTGATTTAACTTTCACGTTAGAAGAAAACTGATTATTTAAAATAAAAGTCCCGACGAAGATGATGAGTTTAGCTTTAACAGGACAAGCTGTAAAAAAAAGAAAAGTTATGATAATAATCACAATCACTGAAGTATATTGTAAGCAAAGATGGATAGCGATTAGCAGTGGAATCCAGGACGTGCGTTCAGTCCTATTTGGGACTCGTCAGCTGGATGTACCTGCATCTCAGAGTTGATGTTCACTCTGGGACTGGAACCCAGTACCCTCGCTTCAAACGCCATCGCGTTATCCACTCGACCAAATAGAACGGAACGCGCATCCTGAATTCCACTGCTAGCCACTATCTATCTTTTCTTGTAATGCTTGTGAATTAAGGCTATATCGAGGCAATACGCACAGTATGCACATATACCAATTAGAGACTGACCAGTTGCAGTCCTAACAAATCGATGAGAAGATTCAAACAAACAATACTAAATGAATTTCACTCAAGTATATGTTTAATTTATTCATGTAATATGATAGTCAATTTAGTTAACAGGTCTATTATGTATTTAAAACTCCAATATAGGTCAATAGGTCAATCTATTATGTTGATTTTCACAAAATCTAATCTATTACATCGAATAATTTACTCTTGTTCTTTTTTTCAAATTTATAGTCAAACCAGCAACCACTTCACCCCCACTGACTACAACTCCTCCACCAAAAACAACTGAAATGACAACTACTTCTGGTATGTAAATTACATTTGTTATTGTATAATACATTATGCATATTACACTGTGACTACATCAAACTGAAAGAAGCATTTCATAAATTTTTATAAACTTTTGTAACTAAAACCCATGATATGTCTCCATGGAAGAAATGATGTTCCTATGCATTATGACTCATCAGTATATGTATATATATAAGCAAAGACTTTTGGTTGCACATAACATCTTCATCTGCACACGTCTATAAATTTTCCTGTCATAGAAAGATTCTGTTTTGATAGAATTATTTTAAATTAATTGCTTGATTGTAATGCGATGGGTGAACTTACAAATTTATTGAATTAAAACTTGTAATGATTATTTAACTGATCAGTTTTAATGTCAGAAGGGGTTTTTGTGGATATTATAGTAATTTCAATAGTTAAGATCATGAGTCAATTGAAGCTAGACCACAATGGAAAACCTGGAAGCACTGCACGGCTAAATCGTCCAATTGTGGGACTCTTCAACAGTGCCCATCCACGATCCTGCCTCACGAGATTCAAGCCCAGGACCTATCAGCCTCGCGTGTGTACGCCCAACCACTTAAACCGTTCTGATATAAATCAACTGGCTTCGAAACATATTTCCTGAAGTTCCAGTGGGCGCAGTGACCATTGGAGTTCAACCGGGTCTGTTGTAAGATAGTATGTCACTGAAGAAAATACTGGACGTGTCGTTTAATTTGAAGTTAGACAGTAACACCGTTGGATGCTGGCTCAGTGGGCTATATGTTAAGCGTTCGCACGTGAGACCGATAGGTCTTGGGTTCGAATCTCACATTCAGAATTGTGGACGCGCACCGCTGAGAAGTCCCACGATTGGACAATTTGGCTGTGCGATGCTTTCGGGTTTTCCATGGTGATAATGAATTTTATTTCATTATTATTCTCATATTATTATTTACGTCATATATATTGTTCAATCTAATCTTTTGTATACAAATCATGGTTAAAACAATGTTTTTTTTTAAACAAAATCAGAATATCAAAGATTTGATTTTAATAATTCAGGAATGGAAAGATAGTTTTGTATTGGTTTACAAAACAATTCATAATTTTAAGCAAAAATACATAGTGAATAGCAGTGAAATTCAGTTTGACATGCGTTTCGTTCTATTTCGGATTCATTAGCTGGATTTACTTATATCTAAGTGTTGATTTTCACTCTGCAACTCCAACCCAGTACCATTTGCTTTAAATGTTAAAGTAAACAATACCAAATGAATTTAATTTGTATCAGAACTATGTTCTTATAATCTTCGTCTTCTTATTACACTATTTCTTTCAAATTTAACATATTGCTTTAAGTAATTCCCACTGAAAATTAGAGAGGACTGAATCGCTGATAAATCCCAATTTCAAACATCAATAGCAGTGGTACTCATAATTTTATTCAATTCCTAATCTAAAATCTTTAGGTTTTGCGAGGAATTCATTGATTTTAGACTACCAAATAGACATTTAAATCATCACATGTTTAACCTCAACTAACTCAGAACAATATAGCACAGAATTTAATCCCCTAGATAGACAACTTCTTCAACGAATCTGAAATTCTTCAATATAAATAAGTAATAAGTTGAAAATTAGAATGAAACATCTAAGAAATATCCCTTTATCATCAATGATTAACCAATTCCTGTCAATTCATTTATAAAAAACATTTAAAACCTAGCTCATCTTTGAATATTTCAAATAGTTTATTCAATTTTGTTATACAATATAAGTAATCAATTGCAGTCCTAAACATCAATAGGAAAATTAACGTGAACAATACCAAGTATATTTAAACTTCACCTCATTGCATAATCAACCAGCTATCAGAACTCAGTAGCTAAGTGAATAACATGATGGCGTTTTATAAGTGAACGATATTGAATTCGAGTCCCAGAGTGAACATTAACTCTCAAATGCAAGAAGGTACGCGCGTCAAACTGGATTCCACTGCTAGCTACTATCCATCTTTGCTTAGAATGCTTGTGAATTAAGGCTATATCGAGGTAATGTGCACAGTATGCACATGTCCCGATAAGAGACTGATCAATTGTAGTCCTTAATATCAATGGGAAGATTCAAACAAACTATACTAAATGAATTTTATTTTTAATTGAGTTTAAGATTATTAAGACGGTTCATGTTTAATTGAAAAGATACAGCTAGGTGACTTAAAAATATAATCAAACAAAGGATATTCATTTTTACCGAATAGGATATGATAAACTGTGGTAGAAATTTCTAAAAATGAACCTGGTAAAAATGACAAGATTCAAAGTTGAATCTCACAAACTTTCGATGTAACATATGATATACTGTTTATGAAGGTTCTTAAGTAGTTGATCAACTACATTAGCTTTAACGAGGTTATACAAGAAAAGTATGGATGATACTTTGTCTATGAAATTTTTGCAAATCAACAATCAATGTATTCTTTCATTAGTAATTCTTTGATATGTTTGATACGTTTTATTTCAAATGCAAAATCGCATCCATTTTTAAATTTATCAACTTGAAATCTTGATATCACATAAAAAAATACGTCATTTTATCTACTAAGTACATGAAAGCGAACGGTATCGTGTTCGAGTCCCAGATTAAACATCAAGTCTGAAATGCAGGTACATCCATCTGTTGAATCCCAAGTAAGACGGAACACGTATCAAACTTGATTCCACTGTTAGCTACTATCCATATATGCTAAAATTCATCCATTTGCTAAAATAACAATCATTTCAATTATCTTGACAGATATAATAAAAAGCATACAACAACCACAACAACAACATCCAAGATAATAATAATAACAATAAATACTGAAAAAAAGAGAAAAAAAGGTAATCCCTATAATTAAATTTTTATTTAACAGCCTCTTCTTTTATCTTTCTTGTTTTTTTTTGGTAAAAGAGAAACAAACGAAATTTTAATTTACTAAAATATAATTATTAGTAATAACAATTATTGAGTGAAGAATTTCCAATAAAAAATAAAAAATTTAAAAAAATTTAAAAACAAAAAAATAAAAAAAAACAAGAAAAAATAAAAAACCAAAAAAAATCCCGGAACAAATGAGCATAAGTATATGTAAAATGAAAAAAACAAACAATAAAACTACTACATTAATAATTAATATTCCTTCTTTAAAAGAAAAGGGGGGGAAATAAAACGAAAAAAACAAAAAAAGAAATTTTTCTCTACCAAAAAAAAATTAAAATTAAATAAAAATGATACTTTTCGGCAATTGAATCCCTTAAGATTTCATCATTCAAAAGTGAGAATAATTAAACTTGCTAGAAATTTTTTTTCTTTTTTCTTTTCTTTTTGTTATTTTTTATTTTACCGATAAGTATATTACAATTTTATGACAAGGAAAAAGGTGAACTAAATGGAAATAATGAAAAATAAAAGAATTTTTTTTTTACTTGAGTCAATTGAAGCTACACTATCATGGAAAAGTTGAAAGCACTGGACGGCCGTTTTGTTCTATTATGGGACTCCTCAACAGTGTGCATCCACGTTCCCACCTTGAGAGATTCGAACCCAGGTTCTATCAGTCTCGCGCGTGAACGCTTAACCTATAGACCACTGAGTCAGCATCCAACGGTGTTGACATCTGACTATAACCAATCCACAAAATTGCGCAACCATTCATCAATGTCATCAGTGAGTTGATATCTCTCAAGAGACTTGGTTGATCTCCTCTGGTTACGGCTTCTCACTAGAACTCTAGGAAATATCTCATGAAGCCAGTCATTGTAATATCCTGATGAGTAGAAAAATGAGATTTTCTGATGTTTTGTAACTCAGTTTAAACAAATCAATGGTGTAGCAACGGGTTCCCCCGTGTCCCCGATTGTAGCCAACCTGTTTATGGCACACATAGAATCAAATATTTTCAACAACGACATTAAACCATGATTTCGGCTTAGATATATAGATGATACATTTGTAGTATTAAAAAAGACTCATCTAAGATTGTTTTCAAAACGGATAAATACACTTTCACCTCACATCAAATTCATGAATGAGAATGAAAATGAACATGGTGAGCTACCGTTCATAGATTGCTTAGTGAAAAGAAATGTAAATAAAGTTCAAAATCTATCCATCTACCGAAAGCCCGCACACTCCAATCGTTATATCGACTTCCATTGAGCACATCCTTTCGGTGCAAAAATCTCGTTAGCCTTAAATCTTTTTAGAAGAGACAACAAGACCATCACTTCAGAAGACGACAAGCAAAAAGAACAAAAGAATGTAATAAGCATCTTACAATTTAATAATTTTCCTATGAAGATTATTAGAAGTATATTAAAACAAGGCAGTTCAGTACATAATAATAATAATTCGAATAAAATGCCATGGATTGGTACTGCAGTTTTACCATACCGTCATGGCACAACTGCAGAACTCCAAAGGATCTTATGACAACACAGAAGTGTGTTACAAAACAACGAACACACTTCGAAATACTTTAGTTCGATTAAAAGAAAAAAATCCCATTCATGTCTACACAGAACTGCGTCTACAAATTAGATTGTGTCAACTGTGATGCCTTCTATATTGGTAAGTCATCTCGCGAAATCTTGACCAGCTCCAAAGAACATATAAAGTACACAAGAAAACCTCCTATTAATTCTATAGAACTGGATAAACTTCAAATTAAATCAGCAATAGCAGTTCACACCATTTTCAACAATCATCAAATTGATTTCAAAAATATCAAAATACTACAAAAAGTTTTTCCAATTACAAAGAAAAGAAAGTAGCTGAAGCGTTTCATATAATGCTTAATCCTACTGCTCTCAATAGAAAGGAATGCCTTTAAAATTAAATTATAACAGTTGAATTCACTGGTCAATCTGTAAACAGTAAATGGCCGTTTCATCCTAGTATAAGACTTTTAAACAGTATACATCCACGATTCCAAGGGTAAGACTCAAATCCAAGACTTTCGATCTGGAACATGCGAGCGTTTAACC